AGAAGACAAGTGTTTGGAGTGTGAAAAATGCTCAAATGAGCTTCCTATTTATAGTTTTCGCAGCCTGGCAGCTCGGGACGGCCGTCGGGGTGCGGAAAACGAGGATGGGCGTCTGGGAGGCCGGGACGACCGTCTGGGATCTGGGATGGTCGTCCCAAGCAACAAAGCCAGGCTGAGACGGGCGTCCGGCATGTGGGACGGCCGTCTGGGCTGACTGGGATGGCCATCCCGACTTCCGGGATGGCCATCTCGACTGTTTTGGCCAGATTTTGTCTTCCGGGACTCCCGAGAAGCTTTCTTTTCTTTATTCGGATGTTGATTGATGCCGATAGACGTCCATCGAAGCTTTATCTTTAGATAGGAAGTCTTCTTGGCCTTTATTGAGAGGCCGGACAAAATTAGGGTTCTTCTACATCCCTGAATTAGAGGAGCGGTTTTTGAGCATAAAAGATATAAAAAAAGAAGTTATGGAGCACAAAGAGAGAAACGAAGACGAGAGGCATTTTTTCCAAAAAGAAAATTGAAGAAAACCAGAGCAAAAGAGGGAGAACGATTTCTTCTATCAAGAGGGAAATTGAGGAAGCTACGAGAGGAGATAGTGAGAACTTCTCTTCTATTCTCTAACTTCCTGTCTCATTTCTACTTTTCTCTTATGTTAGGGTTTGATTTATTGTATTGTGGATTGTAATCATCATTTCTATGGCACACTAAATCTCATTCTTGGGATTAGGGGGAATATGTTTATGTATCAATTTTGAATACTTTGAATTTCTCTGTTATTGAATTCCTGTTTTCTATTCATTTCCATGAGAACCTAAAGCTTCTAATGGCTTAGAGATAAGGTTAGATGAATTTAAATGATGTGGATGATTGAGAGATCGATATATCATTAGAAAAGCATGGAATTGAACCTAGGGATTTGGGTTACGAAAGTAGACAAAACTCTTTGAGGGGAAATTGAATTTTCATAAAGCCTAAAGGATCTACTTAACGAATTGAACGTTGTTCTTCGGTAATTAGGTATGTTAGTAGGGTTTCGAGAGGAATACATTAATCAATTAAGGAAAATTCACCTTAGAAATAGAAGTTAAATAATGGGAAACGAATTGATTTAAATTGAATACGTAACATATAAACCTACCGACTCCTAAGAAAGTTTTCACCTTGAGTCTCTTGTAAATAGTTTTTGGTTTTCTATTCATTTTGCAATATATTCTATTTGAAACGATTTGTTTAGATAATTGAATCACTGTGTACCGGTACTTGGGCATAATCTTTGTGGGAACGATAACTTTTTATTACGCGATACTTTGTACGCTTGCGGAACAGCTATCAACATTCCAGGAGCTTGGCTTCTAGCAGCTGAGGCAGCAACTTCCCGTAGGAGGTTGAGATAGGGGTGAATTTTCTCTATTTTTTGCGCGGCTTCCGAACCGTTTGTGGAGCGAAAGTAGGAGTAGCGAGGTTAATTGCGTGCACAACCTCCTCCTTCTTCTTGCGGGAGGGTTTTACGAACTAGGCAGCTGGAAGGGGAAGATTGCGCTGTCTTCCCATTTCTTAATCCTTGCTCCACTCTCTCCCCTACGGTGACTATGTCCGAGAAAAAGTTGGATGTACTAGCTATTGCCTTGTAGTAGTAAGCTCCTCGTCAATGAGTCTATGAACATAGCCACCGTCTCCTTGTCCGTCGACAGGGTCTCTATCCGGGTAACCATCTCCCTCCACCTCTAGGCATATGCCTTGAAGGACTCGTCGTTCCTCTTGCTTAAAGTCCTAAGATATGACCTATCTGGAGTCAGATCGATGTTATATGGGTAACGACGAAGGAAGGCATCCGCTAGCTGCTTCCAGTTTTGGACTTGCCCCTTTTCCAGCTACATGTACCAGGTTGAGGGCTGAGTCAGCTAGGCTCTCCTGGAAGCAATGGATTAGGATTTTCTCATTTTCAGCATGTGCATCCATCTTACGATAGTACATCATAAGATGACTTTTGGGGCAAGTCACTCCAGGCATACTTAGGGAATTCCGGGACCTTGAATTTTGGCGGAAGCTGGATGTTCTTCACTAGACACATGTCTACCGCCTCTTTGACGTAAAATTTGTGTCCCTCGATCGCCTTCGACCCTTCCTCCAAGGCGGAGATTTGTTGCTTGGACACCTCGGGGGTGTGGATGTGCATCGCCCTGGCGTTAGATTGTACAGGGGCTTTCCGCTCGAAGAAGAACTCCTCTCCTTCTTCTTCCTCATGGCGAGAGGCGCGATCGCCATGAGTTTCCCCTTTGTTTTGGCTTTGTTGGCACATGACCTCCATTAATTGCGCCATTTGCTCCCGGAGGGTGCTAACCTCGATGGTGAGTTTGCGGTTTTGTTCTTCCAAATGCTCCATAGCTTTTGCCTTTTGCGCACGAGGTTCGGATAGGAAGAGGACCAACCACTTTCTAAGATGCCCAAGAATTTCATTTATAAAAATGAATGATAGGTGTGGGATTAGTATCTTCTAAGACAATGACTTAGGCATCATCCTTAAAGCTTACGCTTTGTGGAGTATCATACCCACTTTGGTGTAATGGTTCCTTCCCGTCGAAGATCACCATATACCTTAGCACATTTGTCCCTTCCCAGTGGATGGTTACAAATGTGCTCAGGGTCTCTTTCAACTTTGTCTTAGAGATATCTAATGCCCCCTAGCATGAATGTGTTTATGCATGAGAGTTTTTATTTAGATGATGCTTATGCGTACTTTTCTTATGCATTTATTTTCTCTCTTGGTTTTTCCACTTATGACATGATGCGATATGAATTATTTGACTTTGTCAAAAATCGTTTTATGAACAAGATCCCAATTTTGTTTTATTGGGCTTATTTATTTGATTTTTATTTGTTTAGGTTTTATTTTATAACCTTTTTTATCTCTTCTGTCGGACTGCGTGGCTACTTAGCTTACAAAGAACCTGAAACCAGGCTAGCTAAAAGACAGACTGTCCAGAGATAAAATGGTTTATTGCGAAAGAATAATTTTAACGTCCCTTATCTCTTCTGTCAGACTCGCATGGCTAGTTCGCTTACAAAGAACCTGAAACCAGGATAGCTAACAGGCAGATCGTCCGAGATAAGGGTGTTTATTGCAAAAATATTTTTGTGGTTTTTCTATTTTTTATCTGTTGTATGGTTATGCTATGCAATCAAATGCAACAAACAAATGCACACAAAATTTCACTCATGCGCGAACAAGCGGGGTGACGTTTTTAATTACGAGGTAGGGGTCTCTTGTAGAAGAGTGCATATTCAGGGTAGTTCTAATTTTCCTTACCAAGGCCAAGCCCCCTATAGGGTCCCCACTCTCCGGTCTTCCGACCATGCATGGCACTAAGACCGTAGTCGGTCTTTGTGCCAAAAGAGGCAGGTTATCACCTTGAGTGGTGGTTTCCGACCATACCGGTGGACTCAAGGCCCTCACTACGACAAATCGTACCGCCACCCACTCCCTATGGATTTCCCACTTGCCCTTGGGTATAGGGGGAACTGTTGTGTGCAAGGGTTTGTGTACGGTTTGTATTTCAAACAATTGCGTAAAATAAGCAAACAACAGTTATTAAAGCCAAGCAAATAAAACATGTTATAAAACAAGGCAGGGTAAAGGAAAAATTTGTAAGTTTATTTATTAAACTGGCCTATCACTAAATGGGATAAACTCTCTAGGCTTTCCCAATGCAGTCACCATCTGTCGATGCCGTCAAAAGAGGCAATCGGAGCGACGCGATGGTTTCCGCTTCGACTCACGTTTTTTAAAGTAATGTTACAACGCCTTTAGGTTATCCGATAACCGGGTTGGACCTAAAGGCGAGGTTTTTGAAAAAGGGTTACTGGAGTTGCCACCAATGTTTTATCTCGGAAACATTGGAAAAGGAAGAAAAAGAAGGTGTTAAAAAACCAACTTTGGCCATTATAACCAGAGTTGGGTAAGGGAGTTAGTTACATGTAAGGAATGTATTAGCTTCCCTACGACGCCCCTTTCGGGAGAAAGTTGTAGAAGGGAAAGTTCGAGAATGCTATGAAAAGGAAGGGGTATCGCCCTTGACAAACGGAACGACGGTCTCGTCCTTGACTAATGGTGAGAAGGCCGTCTCGCCAAATAAAATGGCGGTCTCAGCCCTCCAGGTGGAATTTTTTATTTTTTCGTATAAAAAAAAACCTTACTACTTTAATATGGGGCCTATTAGTCTATCCTAGGGACCTTTTAGGCCTTGCTCATCTTCAAATTGGAGGTCTTTTGCTCTTTATTTTGAGGTCGGGCAAGATTTGGGGTCTACATAACTTATTAGGCCCAAGAAAATCATCTCGACTGAGTGAGAGAATGGCCATTGGGCCAATTTGCAATGGCTCGTAAGTTTGTAAGATCGGTAGCCACTCTTGTCTTAGAAATTATATGTCCCAAATACTCAATCTAAGATACTCCAAAATGGTACTTGGAAAACTTGACACAAGATTGATTAAAATTAAGTAGTTGCATCAGTTGACTTAAGGGAGAAATATGGGTGCCTTAATCAGAACTGTAAACTAGTATCTGAAAAAAAAAAAAACTTGCCTAAATGAATACGAAAACAAAATCATTCAGAATGGACATCAATAAACCCAAATGACATAACCAAAAATTTGAAATTATTGTTTATAGTGCAAAAAATAGTTTTAGACATATCTTTCATAGCCAAATAGATTTGATGATATGTTGATTGTAAATCAATTTAAAAAATAAAAATAAAAAGTCATTGTAACTCATCCAATAACTCCTTCACCATCAGAATGGGAAAGGGTTATAATGGTGATGGTATAAAGAACATGATAATCAACACAAAATAACTCCTTCACAAAATATTTTCCCATGTTAAGGGTTATTTGGGATGAGCTTAAGAATTTTTGTCTTGATCTAAGTTGTTCTTATAACACTAAGTGCAACTATGGTATGACCTCTTTAATCGCACAAAGAAAGTGTGAAGATCATGCTATGCAATTCTTAAGGGGATTAAGTGATCAATATAGTAATGTGAGGTCACATGTTCTTTTGAGGTCACATGCTTATACTCCCCTTATTTAAAACTCTACCCCTTTTGGAAAACATTATGGTAAACATTATGATTTGAGAGATATTTGTGTGTTTGATTGTCAATGTTATGTTAGTACCTTGACCACTAATAGGAAGAAATTTGATAGTCGAGCTAATTATAGTATTTTCCTTGGTTTTAAACAAAACACCAAAGGTTACATTGTTTACAATCTTAAAACTCATAATATTAAAGTCTCTCATAATGTCATTTTTTATGAAAAATTTCTTCAAACTCGAGAAACAAATGAAAATAATTACATTGATATCTCAAATACTTCTTTACATATATCTTTTGACATTATTAGTACCTTGGATACCGATGGTAACTAAGCTAATGAATGGGTGGAACCTGCCCTTGAAACAATGTTGTCCATCTCCAAGTTGATCCTCATTCAACGCACTCTCCAAGCCATTTGAGAACTCGCCATAATGACCATACCAATCTTCAATCTATCTTGATGAGGATGTCATTACCAATTATCAACCTTCATCCTTGTAGACCCCAAACCTTTCCCGACCATACAAAAAAGCTTATAAATCCTTTGTTTTGAAGATGGACAAGGCTTCATAGGGTCCCTAGTAGTGTCCACTAGGCTTCATTTAAGAAAAGGAGGGTTTTCTTAGAGAATAAAAAAATAAAATTTTGTTAGAGAAGTCAGGACGACCGTCCCAAATTCCAGACGATCGTCCCACCTTCCTTGGTGGTTTGGGACGATCGTCCCAAATTCCAAACGGTCATCCCACCCTCTTAGGAATTTTGGGACGACCGTCCCAAAATCCCATACGATCGTCCTACCTAAAAAAATTCGGGACGGTCGTCGCGACCTCTTGGGTGAGCATGCTTATAAATAGGACGTCATTTCTCACATTTTCACACACTTATGAACACTTCCACACACCTTCTCATACCTAGAGACGTTTCTAGAAACCTTTAGGCACCGAGTAGTCTTTTCGATAGTCCATTTGGGCAAAATCGGTTAAGGAAGTCTCCTTTTGAGACATCCGACTCTCGGCAGTTTAATAATTTTATTGTTCGAAGGAGGAGTGCTCGTGTAGTGGGAGGAGACCGCCAAAAAGCGTTCTCAAGTTTAAAGATTTATAAAAGCTCGCTTTGGAGGTTTTTCTCAATCCCTTACTCTTTTATCGCTTTCCTTTGTGTGCATTCGAAATTAGGGTCATGTAGATATTTAATAAATACTGCGAATCAATAAATAGGGTAAATGCATAATTTCTAGATCTTTATTTTATGAATTAATCCATCATAGGGAACCCAAACTAGGCGCTGTGGGGCGCTAACACCTTCCCCACGCGTAACTAACTCCCTTACCCAACTCTGGTTATAATGGTCAAAGTTGGTTTTCTTAAACCAACTCCTTCTTTTTTATCCTTTTCCAATGTTTATGGTTAAAACATTGGTGGCGACTCCATATAACTCATTTTGCGGAAACCTCACTTTTAAGGGTAATTCAGTTATCAAACATCCTAAAAGTGATGACCAGATTGTTTTATGAAAATGCGAGTCACAAACCATCGCTTCACGACTATAGACCCCAAATCTTACCTGGCCTCAAAATAAAGAGTAGAAGACCTCCAATTCGAAGATGGGCAAGGCCTAGAAGGTCCCTAGGATAGACCAAAAGGCCCCAAATTAGAATAGGAAGGTTTTTTGTACAAAAAAATAGAGAGGACCACCTAGAAGGTCGAGATCACCATCTCGCTTAGTGAGACCGCCGTCTCACTTAGCGACCACTTGTCTCGCCATCGCAAAGGGCGAGATCGTCGTCTTGTTTGGCGAGACGGTCGTCTTGCCACTTGCCAATGGCGAGACCGTCTTCCCATTTGGCGAGATGACCTTCTCGCCATTTATCAAATCGAGATTACCTTCTCGATTGGTGAGACGGTCGTCTCGACTCGACAGGCACGAATCCCTATAAAAGGAGGGCTCGTTCCCCTTTTTTTCACACAGTTCTCAAACCTTTCCTTCTTCAATTTCTTCAAATTCTTCTCCTAAATCCCTCCGAATCAATTCCAGAGCTTCTTAGTATTCTTAGAGATTATTCTAGCGTTGCGAGGAAGAGCGATCAACGTTGTAGAGTGAAGGACTTCCAAAAAGTTTCCTATTTCAAGAATATTAATCCCGAAAGCTTACTTCAAAGGTTTTCATACTTGCTATCCTTCTTTTACTTGCTATTTTCTTACATTTATATGTGCATTAGCTGCTAGGGCCATGTAGACATTATTTTTTAATTCCGCAAATAAAAGGGTAAAAGCGTCATTTTAAGGTTTACTTATGAAATAAACGGCCCATCATAGGGAACCCGAAAGGGGCGTCGTGGGGGTGCTAATACCTTCCCCACGCGTAAATAACCGCCTTACCCGACTACGGTTATAATGGCCAAAGTTGGTTTTTCTAAAAACCAATGCCTTCTTTTTTCCTTTTCCGATGTTTCCGTAAAAACATCGGTGCGACTCCATAAGAACCCTTTTCGAAAACTTCGCCCTTAGGTCCAGCCCGGTTATTGGACAACCTAAAGGCGTTGTAACACCACATTAAAAAACGTGAGTCAAAATTTGGAAACTTGATTTGTTTTGAGAAGTTCTTTGAAAATCTTTCTTGAGGCAACTTGATTTGTTTTAAAGAAGAAACACTTACTGCAGTAATTGCATAAACTGGTTTGAGCATTCTAGTTTCTTCTTTTTCATTTTTTTTTCATTCTTTTTGTATTGTTTGGTGCCTGGAATTTAGGCACGGTTTCTCTGCAGCTGGAATTTGGTTGTAGAGGTTATCAAGAACTGGAATTTGGTTCTTGGTGAGAGGTTGAGTGCGGGAACTGGAATTTGGTTCTTGTGGTAGATTAAGTGTAAGATTGTAAATCTGTAAAACATTTGATCTAGTGGAATCCAGCTGGAATTTGGCCGGAGACTGGACGTAGCCCTGGTATTGGGTGAACCAAGATAAAACACCGGTGATATCTTTCTTAACTATAGACCCCAAATCTTGCCCTAGCCTCCAAATAAAGTCGAAAGCGTCCTATTTGAAGACGACCGAAGATTAACAAGTCATTAGGAGAGACTATTAGGCTCCCGTACAAGGATAGGAAGGTTTTTTGGCCCGAAAATAAAGTTTCTCGCCTCGAAGGGACGAGACCGCCGTCTGGAAGGACCAAACCGCCGTCTCGTCTCAACGCCGAGACGAGACCGCTGTCTCGATTGTCCGGACGGCGGTCTCGTCACCTGCAAAGGTCGAGACGGCGGTCCGGATTTTCCGGACGGCGGTCTCGATTCTCGGCTAGTCGAGACGGCGGTCTGGATTATCCGGACGACGGTCTTGACCCTCTCGCCATGAACGAGACGGCGGCCTGGATTTTCCAGACGGCGGTCTCGACCCCGTCGAAGGAGACGGCGATCTCGACTGTCAGGCGCGAAAACTATAAATAGGGGTCCTCCCCCCTCATTTCCACACGGAATCAACATAGCTCTCCCTTCTCTCTAGACTTTCTCTCTCTAAGAATCCCTCCGAGGCATTTCCGGAGTTTCGAGTGTCTCTAGGCATAAACCGAGCGTTCTAAATCTTCTTTAGAATCCCTCCGAGGCATTTCCGGAGTTTCGAGAGTTGTAGAGTGAAGGGTTGCCAAAACGCACCCTCTCTTTAAAGAAATATAAAAGCTTGCTTTGGAGGTGCATATTCTCCCTCTCTATTTTTATTACTGCCATTTAAATTACGCAATAGAAGCTAGGGCCATGTAGTCATAAACTTAAATTCCGCATAATAAAAGGGTAAAAGCGCATTTTTCCAGTTTAATTATTTATTCAAAGTAGCCGGCCTATCATAGGGAACCCGAAAGGGGCATCGTAAAGGAACTAACACTTCCTTTACACGTAACTAACTCCCTTACCCAACTTTGGTTCGAATGACCAAAGTTGGTTTTCAAAACCAACGCCTTTTTAAAACCCCTTTTCCGATGTTTATGGTAAAAATATCGGTGGCGACTCCATAGAACCCAAATTAAATAAATCCATGGGTTAGCCCGGTTATCGGACAACCCAGGGATACTTTCGAAAACCTCGCCCCTAGGTTAGCCCGGTTATCGGACAACCTAAAGGCGTTGTAACCACCAATAGAAAAACGTGAAAATAAAGAGGGTCAAAAAAACATCGCGTTGCTCCGACCGCCTCTCTTTTTTGACGACGGTGACGGATGGCGACTCCGCTGGGGAAGCCTAGAGAGTTGATCCCATTTAGTGATGGGTCTGGCTTAAAAATAATTAAACCAAGAAAAAAGCGCTTTTACCCTACCTTGTATTATAACATGCTTTATTGTTTGGCTTTCAAATAACTCGTTGCTTGTTTCTACTTACGCAATTGATTGAAATATAAATTGCACACAAAACCCTTGCACACTACGAGTTCCCTCTATACCCGGGGCAAGTGAGAAAACCATATGGAGTGGGTGGCGTGTACGGCTCGCTGCAGTTAGGGCCTTGTGCCCACCGGTAGTGATCGGAAACCACCACTCAAGGTGATAATCTTCCTCTTTTGGTAACAAGACCGACTCGGCCTTAGTGCCGAGCATGGTTGGACGAGCTGGAGAGTGGGGACCCTATAATGGGGGCACCTTGGGGGCCTTAGCCTGGTGAGAACAGTTAGAACCTACCCTGTCCAATGCACCTTTCTGCAGGAAAACCCTACCTCGTGATAAAAAACGAAGTCTCGCCTGTTCGGGGATGATCGAATTGTGTGTGCATATGATTGTTGCATTTGTATGTTGCATAGCATAAACAAACAACAAAACAAAATCACCAAAAAAATATTTTACAAATAAACACCCTTATCTCGGACGAGTCCGCCTTTTAGCTAGCCTGGTTTCAGGTTCTTTGTAAGCTAAGTAGCCACGCAGTTCCGACGGAAGAGATAAGGGACGATAAATATTCTTTCGCATAAAGCCACATTTTATCTCTGGACGATGCCGCCTTTTAGCTAGCCTGGTTTCGAGTTCTTTGTAAGCTAAGTAGCCACGCAGCTTCGACGTGAAGAGACACTAGTGCAAAAAGGGGCTTTTACGTCGGGTATTTATGACTTTTTACGTCGTATTTAAGTCCGACGTTAAAGCGGGAGACGTAAATTTACGTCGGACCCTTTAGCCCAACGTAGATTTACGTCAATTATTAAAACCCGACGTAATTTTACGTGACATATACCACTAAACAGACGTAAAAACTTTCGAAAATAAAAAAAACAAAAAATTTACGTCACACATGGTATATACGACATAAATTTACGTCACATATACCAATACGCGACGTAAATTTACGTCGCATATACCATATGCGACGTAAGTCATCCCTTCACCTTCACTTTTTATACCAACATAACCATCAGCCCATTCGAAGTTATCACATAATGACCATGCAAAATATCCCTTCACCTTTACGCCATCCCTTCTAAATAAAGTCAACAAAATTAATTCAAATTATTTTTTCAAACAAAATACTCTTTAAATATAATAATAACAAATAAATATAAACCATTCATTACCTAATTGCCAAGTTTAAATAATAGAGATGACGATAATAGTAGTCAATTCTGTATGTATCGAGAAGAGCTTCTTGAAGAGATAGTGTTGGATCAACAATTCTCTAATTCCTTTGGGATAAACATATAACCAACCAGAAGCTGTCTGCAAGTATAATTATCAAGTTATATAAAAATAAATAATAATAATAATAATAATAATAATAATAATATTATTATTATTATTATTATTATTATTAAGTAAAAAATTGATGTGATGGTATACATACCGATTGACCTATTGGAATTCCATTGCGTGAATCTATCCCAAAAAAAATGAAATTGTTATAAAATAATATGATACTAATTAAAAAAATCATGGTATTACGTTAAATTTTAGCTTAAGATTAATTTATATTAAATAAAGTGAGTAATAAATATATAATTTATTTAAAAAATTAAGATGAACATATATACGATGGAAGAAGGTATCTTACATGAAGTTTTGACATTGGAATCAGAATCATAATTAGGTCTGGTTTTGGGTGCATTGGCAGCATAGGCAGTGGTGTAATAGTTTAGTCCAATAAAATCATATGAACCAGTCACAAGTCTTGCTTCTTCTTCAGAGAACTTTGGCAGTCGTTCACCAACCAGGGAAATCATGCTCTCTGGATATTTTCCTGATGTCAATGGTTCCATGAACCTGTAATCATTCTCAGTAAGATAACCATGATGATTTTTTGAGTTACGAGTCATACTTAATATTTGAATCCAGTGAAGAACTTACCATCCATACATGAAGTCAAGTGCTCGATTGGCAGCATCTTTATCCACTTTGTGATTTGAATATGGCGTATACCAGAAACACACTAATGTTATGCCTATGATTCCTTTTTGAGATTTCTGAGTAAAGAGTTTGGAATGTTAAGTGAAAGAGTTATGTCAAAGTAAAATACTTGAACCCTGGCAGCAACTAACAAGGCTAAAGAAAAACCTGATATTTTTTCTTGTAGACTTGAACAGATGCTGCATGAGCAAGTAGTTGATAATGTGAAGCTAAATAGGGTTCTGTTCCTGAATCACCACCAGTGCAGTTTAGGTTTAGCCATTCAGAACATCGACCTGGTGCATAGATCCCAATTGCATAACCACCTCTACTGTAAGACCATGGCTCGTTTAAAGTAATCCAATGATTCCTTCTTGGTTTATACCATATGACGTCTGTGATAACTTCGCATATTTCAATGTAAACATATAGTAATGACATAGAACACTAACCTCGAGTGTAGATGAAAAATGATTTCAAACTCGAATCCAATCGGGGAGAAATATCAAGTTCGTCAAATAACACGACAATATAGATGTTTTTCACTGTAAAACTGCTCGAAAATGGTGTGCAGAGGTAGCCGTTATCGTCGTTCTCGTCGTCGTTCTCAAAAACCCCGGTTGTGCGAGACGAGGGAGTGTGGCAGGGTGGGAATAAAAGAGACTTTTACGTCGCGCATCCCAACAGCACGCGACGTAAAAAAACCTCTTTTTACGTAAAAGTTTTGTCCCTTATTTACAAAATTGCCACCGCGTTTTATTTACGTCGAATATTTTTACATGCGACGACAATTGGGTGACGTAAAAGCCCTTTTCTCGCACTAGTAAGATAAAAGGCTATAAAATAAAGCGTCAAATAAAAAA